TATATGTATATGTATATGTATATGTGTATATACATACACACACATATATATATATGATATATAATGTCATTTGGTGATAATGGGAAAAAATAGCAAGGTATAAGAGGTAGGAGACAGAGAGACCTGGGTAGGGAGTGGGTTGTTATTCATGTGTCAGGGAAGACCTTTCTGTTGAGCTCTGGGCTTAGATGTATGTCTGAGAGTGCAGAACCTCAGAACTGGTAAGTGGTCAGCCACTGCCTGTTAAATAATTAATGATTTAAATTAATTTCTTAAGTGCCTTCTTAGTGCAGTAGGCAGCCCATCAGTCTCATAAATTAATTTCTTGATGAAGGGGAGAGTAGGGAGAAAGAGGAGGAAAAGAGAACAAAACCTAAATCAGACATTTACAGTGACCAAAAAAGCAGCTTTTTATTTAGTTCTGGAAACTGCTTTAATGCTCTCATGGTCACAGACAAGGCCACAGAGAATTGATACTAGAAATTTCCCATCCAGGCAAATCTGAATATAATTGGCCAGGTCCATCCTGGGCAATCAATAACCTGAAGCCAATTCACACAATTGTGAGATCACCTAAAATAGGTACACCTAAAATTCAATTTCCTTCGTGTGTTTCTGCTGAGTGTTGTCACATTTAACCAAGAAACATACAAGCATTTGAACCTAATATTTATAATAAATGTATATCAACCTTGCTGTAATTTTGAATTATTAAAACTCACTGCCGCCAAGTCAGATCTGACTCATAGTGACCCTCCTTTGGTTTTCCGAGCCCTACCCTCCTTCTAAGAATTGTTGTTGTTGTTGTGTGCCATCAAATCGGACCTGTCTTATAGCGACCCTTCCTTGGGTTTCCGAGGCAGTATCACTATGGAAATAGATTGCCCAATCTTCCTTCTGAGAATTGTTAGGTTGCTATAAAAATTTTTGGTGGTTATCTTTTTCCATTTACCTACTTTTAAACACTTTTTTTTTGTGGTCTTAAATCCCATATTCATATACAATTGAGGAAAATAGATGATACAAAGAGCAATGTTATGAGAATAAAATCTAAATTGTCAAATATTTATGTTTGCTTTAATGATATGGTTAATTATCAAACTACGTGTCAACAACTTGCAACAGAACTCTACTGTTATTTCCTAATTGTCAAACAAGATTTCTGAGCCAGAATTTTTCAATCCTTCACTTATATTTGAAAGATTCAATAATCCAAGTAATTGG